TAATTGTTCTGTTTTAGTGCTCTTGCTAAGATCAACGTTAGTTTTATGTCTTTGGCCGGACATATGTGAATTGAAGTTTTTTGTATCGACGTATATATTACAAGGTGCACAATAGGTCTTATTTGGTACGATTACATTAGCTTTGTTTATTTCTTTACCTTTAACATTTATTTTTGCTTCGGCATTATATTTGTGAGTAGCACTTTTGGTGTGTGCATCGAAATTATGTGTATGTATAAGTCTATCACATGGTTGACAATATGTTGTCCCTGTCTTAGCTTTTGCAGAATTGGGTAGAGCGGTCGTTTTAGAATTTAGTTTTTTCGTAACTGCACCCTCAGTGAGACCCTTTAATGAATTAGTGTGTTTGACGGATGCTATATGATTTTTCTTAACTATCACATGATAATTACACAAAATGCAGTGCTCTGTAGTACTATTTCGCCCCTGAAAGTAAAAACAATTCCACGTTTACAAATACGTATCCAATTAATAGAAATGTTGCTTGGGTTCGATGTGAATGTGATATTGATTTTAAGCTTACTTAATATAGACGACGGGTGGTATATACTACAGTCATGGATGTTTAATATGAATTTCTAAATATACTTATATATATATATATATTTACATCTTCAAAGACTTCTTGCATCTTTACAAACTGCCACCCTGCGGCGTCCACTGTACTCGACGCGATTTTGAATGTTTTAAATGCGTTTTTAAGTAGCTATTATTATTATAATTTCTTGAGTCTACGCGAAATTGCATTAAAATATAAAATGGCTAAAGTGGGCTTGGACAAGTACTATGCGGCGCACATAGGAGTATTTCACATAAAAAACCGGACAAAATTATTTTATATTTAATTTTAATATTTTATGAAATGAAAGTCAATAATTCATCATAATTAGGCATTTATTTAAAAAAGAAACCATTAAAATAATAGTTGAAATGTAATATAGTATTTACTCTTCAATTTTACTTTTTTTTCAATGTTTTTACCCTTAAAACAGGTTTTGTATTCAATAGGATTTGAGAAGAGTGAATTAATCCAAATCACTGTCTCCGAGTTCTCTGGTGATTTGGCCCTCATCATCTTCGTCATCAGAACTGTCGTAATTCAGTACTTTCGAGAGAAACATATTTTTTGCTTCCTGGGAAAAGGGCTTGCTTTTCTTCTTCCTTTTTATTCTATTGCAGCTGATGAAGGGATCAGAAGTCAGCAATAACCTATTTAAAATATCTCTATTGCAGTCCACTCTTGAAAATTTACGTGAATAATCTACCCGATATTTACGGAAATGTTTGTTCCGGGCTTCAGCAGCCTCCTCCGATAGCTGTCCGATAGGAACAATGTGACTGGATATTACTTGAGCACCATGCATTAGAATTTTGTGAACTGTAGGGGACATGGGATGCCAACCATACAGTTCCACATACAGTTTGGCAGCTGAATAAGCAAAGTCATCGAATTTGACAGGATTGATATCATATCCGCTTGAAACGACTTCAAGAATGATGTTAAACCTTTTTATTAAATCTATATTTATTCCCGTAATCCGAGACGAGCATTCCGGATTCTCAAAAAATCTTCTCGACGTATTTCCGTCGTTACTATTGCCGTAACCGACTTTCGGTATGTCAACAAGAAGGCCCATTTCTTCCTTGAATTTTTTTTGTATTTTCTGTTTTGTTTCTTTTAAAACATTTTTGTCTTCTGCTGTTCGAGCTTGCCATTTCTGTAAGGGCAATTTGTACGCCAGATGCAACAATAGCTCGAAGAAACGAATTCTCGCGTGCAGAATGGAGAGCCCGAATTTCAGAGACTCTTCACAAACATTACTTCTTTGAAGTTTATTAAAGTCCTTAGATGTCTGTCCACATATATAGCATCTCATTGTTGAAGCCGTATCAGTCGCAGCATTGCATACCTTTCCATCGACCATTGTGAGCAAAATGGTGTGATTGATTATAACGGAATCTTCCATGCCAGTTGTTTCTTTGAGATTCCTTGCTTGTTCTTCAATATAGGCGATTTCTTCCTTTGTGATATCCTTTGTTTCGTGAATAAACCGAGCCCGGATAGGACGACAGAATCTCACCGAAGAAGGCACTGGATTTTGCCATACAATTTTTTTTGTCTCTCCATTAAAAGAAACAACCATTCTTACAGGTACAAGAGAACTTAAAAATATATTTGAATCATCGTTGTTAGTGTTGGCAAATGTCTGCTTGAACTGTGTCTGATTAGACCCATCACAGCCCCATTTTGATATCAAGATCAGGTGTTGTTTCTCAAACTGTGATAACGTTTCAATCACTTCTTTTAAATACTGTAGTAGTCGCAAAGCCGTATGGTCCAGCAAAGGTTGAAGTTTTACTTCAAAGCTATTTTCAGTAACTTTTATGCTATCTTCAGGGGGATAACACTCCTTTTTTGCTTTTTGTAAAAGCGAATAGCAAGGATAAATATCTTTTCGGCCACCTTGTATTAGTTCCCACTGCCCTCTTGTAAAATTACCTTCTACAAATAACGCCAATGCTTCTTGTGATGTGTATTTTCTCGTGATTGGAGATGTTTTAGCTGATGATATTGCTTTTCGGAACTTTTTAGCTCTGGTAGGCGTCGACGTTATTTCTTTCATAATTTTAGATGCATCAACATTTCCCGAAGTACCTTGACTCACGCTCGCAGCATATGTCAATTCCTCAACAGGAACTTGGTCCCGTAAAGCTTTTGTTCTTCGACGCTTGCTTCGATCACACAATTCACCGAATTCTTTTGTTGGTCGACCTGCTTTGTGGGTCCAAGTAGGTAGTTCTAATGATATATTAAGCCATTCCATATTGTTTTCTACGAATCTCTTATCAGTATTACGGGCTGCCGACCATCTTTCTTTGAAACTGGTCTTGAAATATTTCAAAGAACGGGCAAGAACACTTGTTTCTTCGGGTGGACATGAAGTTAGTTGCACAAGTCGTTCTTCCAACAACGAAAATTTTTCTTCTATCTTTTTTCCTTTGAATTCTTTAATAATACTATAAAGCTCCATTCTGGTGATTTTTTTCACCCTTTCCGAAGGATCTATAACAAAAGAAATCAAAAAAATTAGGTTTAATAATATAATTATAATTTTCCCCATATAGTTTGAAGTATTATAAAAAAATATGGGGTACGTTGGGGGGACTTTTTATTCATGTGTTTACTTCCTTAGAGTTTATATTTAATGCCCACATAAAAAATTTAAGGCGACAAGGCGCGACACATAAACAAAAACACTAATGTATTTCAAATTTCTTTAAAAATCGTATCAAAAAAGTGCCACGTTTTATGGATGACTTTACATGTAGTAAAATTGGTAGACACATAATAAAATATACTTTAGCATATAGTACTAACCTTCTATATCCATGTCCGAATCAATAATCTCCTGTTGTTTGCTACACGAAGCCATTTTAACGCAGAAAACTGATATACAAACGAGAGTGCCGAGAACAAAGACAAGCGTACAGTACGATGACTGGGTTCCGACTGAGGCGTTGTGGCACATGCGCGGGAGTTGAGGGTTGGGGGTTTGCCTTTTGATAAACCGGTTATCGTAGATAAAGAAACAAGTATTTTGGTGTGGGTTGGATTAACATCACTATTTTCAATTTTGTCCGGTTTTCAGTGTGTAATACTCCTATGTGCGGCGGCGTGTATGATAAAATGTGTTTAATACATTCATACACCTTACTTATATTCAAGATTTGTCATTTCGTATTACTCTAAATATGTGTCTTTTTTATTTTTCCTGTAATGTTAGGGTTATAGTATCACAGATACCTTACCTAGAAACTATGTAACGTGCACCGTACCTATCTATCGCTGCATAGCATGTCACTGTGCACCTACAATTCTCTTACAAAGTTTAGTGACTAGTCTTGACATTTATGAGGAGGTACACGCAAGCTTGGCATTCGTTGCTGAGCTGACATGCACTTTGAAATGAAATAATCATGTATGAGGAACGAGTTTTTTTTATTTTTAAGAATAAATACTATTATAAATTATCACATATACGAGTAGGTTGTATTACTTCGGCCTGTTGGCTGTCCCGCGCAACGATGCCTGATGTCGTAAAGCTTCTGCATACCGCAAGAGGTGCTCCTCAAGTTTCTGCTGCTCTTCCCGCTGACGTTTCCTTTCTTCACGCTCCTTCTCTTGTCTTTTCCACTCTGCCTCTTGTTCCTTCCAACGTTCATCGGCGGCTCGACGAGCGGCTTCTCCAGATTTTCCATTATTATTGTTTCCCCACATCGTGATTATATGTTGAGGGTAAATATGCTGATTGAATGTAGAGCTCCTGGCGATTGTGTCGAGGATATATATGCTAATGATTGGTTGTATAGGTCTTTACCGCAATTTATACTAATTCGAAACGTACCTAATAAGGAATACTGGTTGGAATTCCATAACTATATCGGGAATTTGTATGTGGTTTAATTATATCTCGCTATAATGAGGATAATTAAAACGCACTGACCGCATGGTGTACCGCAGTAATAATAGAAATTTTATAAAATGCAGGGAAGGAAAAATTAATTATAACTGAAAGGGGACAAATGATAGCGATAATAAATACAGTTTTATATTTTATTAAGCGAGTGATATCATAGACTGTGTTAACTTTCCCGTTAGGTTGCGCAATCATGCTCCGTATGGATAAAAATATATAGGTAATATTCAGGAGCTGCCCGTGACATGCTGAGCATGCATGGAGTCTTGCTACGTGACCTGCAGTCTTACTTGACCGTGTGATGTTCTCTGGAGGTTTGGTTACGCCAAGCTATTCCACTAGAGCGTTGCAGCGTTCACTCATGTCCTCAGAAAAGTTTACGAAGCAAACTCGAGAGACTTGAGTTCATATTGAAACATCCATCCACACCATCGTTAGGTAATGAACACTTGAATACGTCCATAGGTGTAGCTGTGGTTTACCGTAGGTATCAAACCTTATCGGACAATGGTATATTGTTTTATTTTCCCGAACTATAATTAATTTAATAAATTCAACTGACCGGATAATATCGATTAATTAACCCCGATAACCTATTCAATTGAAGCAAGAGAAACTGAATTCAATATCGTTTAACTTTAGCGATAACGGCGTTATCGCCGTCACGGTTGGTTGCTCTAATGTTGTAGCAATATGCTGATATGGATATTGCTCCCTACGAACCAAGGTGTAACTTACAGGTTAACAGTGAAGAGTTTTTACGCCTGCATTTGCGGGGACTTCAGGTTAGGAGCTTGAATCGAAGACTCACTGTCACATAGCAAAACCTAGAACTCCTCCAACAGTCATACTTCTCCCGAGTCTACTATGCATTAAAGTCGTTTCTCCACTGCATACAATAGTATCACCCTCCCCTTCCCCTCGTACACCGTTTTTGATTCTCGCCCCGTACGCTCTTGTGCCCCCTACTGTATACTGTTTGCTGTAATGTCTGTTCGTCTTTTGTACAAAATGAGGGGAAGTTGTGTGGGGAGGGTAGAAGCACCAGTTTCTGCAATGTTGATGCAAGTTGCATTTCCTAATTGCCACAGAGCACACCCAGCTAAGCCATCACACCATAGCCGTCATCCTCTTATTTATATTTCATGGTTCATTAGTGTAACATGGTAATAACTAGGAATGCAGAACTTCGTTGACATGCAAGCGGTCACGCGCGTTTGGTAGGCCGCCATAGACAACCGCGGCACTTTTGCATAATGTAAGCACAACGCTGGACAACAGCGCAGTATAACTAGCGGGCGCTACCAACACTTATCGCTCTTATCACGCACACAATGCCGTATGTGCTTAATAGATATGTTTTACCTGTATACTAAAGGTATAAACTTTTACCCTGGTTTTCACGATGAGTCGCCAGCATTCCTATTATGGACTGCCGAGCTAAGACAATGCGTCGAGTACAGCGTTTAAACGTCGTTAAAGATGTACCAAATTCGAAGCGTTAACTCTCATGGCCCCCGTACGGGAGCGCAGGATGAATTGTAAATCATCTATTTGCTTAACAATGATAATCTGACAGACATGATACGAAAATATTTTATTATTCAATTATTCATATTGCGAACGAATGTTATACCACGCCGGAAAATGGACCGTGCGGGTATTAGGTTGAGATTCGAATTGCCAATTGCAGTAGATTTCTCAACGGATGTGCTAATATTTTTCATGTTCCAGATGCAAAGCTTGGAAATTCTTTCATCGTTTGCAGTTTATCGAACTAGTGGGCCATACGGTAAGCTCTGGTTGAACGAATCTACTTCGCTGTCCGTATCGCACGAAGCAAGTATTCACAAAAACACTTTGATCCAAATAGAGGTCGTTGAGATCATAAGTTTTCTAGCGCACGGCAGCAGTGACTGCGACACGAATTGCCTGCCGTTGTCCACTCGTTGACTCGCTCAGTCAACGAGTGGATAAAAACTAGTTTTGTGTTCCAGCTCTTTATATATCCCGACGACTCGTTGTAACTGAAGCTATATCGGCGTGAAAAATCCGTTTCCCTTATCAACAGGTACGGGGATCACGTTCACGCGGCTGTTGTTCATGCAGTTGCGCAATAGTTGTCCAGAATAACAGATGCCCCGTTTGGTTAAGTTCAAATTGATAGCTTCTTGACTTTGGCACAACGATAACATCCGCCTTTTCGGTTTCGCCAACATAGAATGTTCTCGAACGACACGTTCAGCCATTACGTGCAAGACGTGTTTTGATCGTCGAACGTGACGATCGCCGTGCACCGTTGAACCAATGATGCAACTTTCTGTTCTTCATGAACGGTGAACACTTGTGCAAGCAACCTGACACGTCATGATGTGGAGAGATGTTCGATAGGCCACGAGGAATATAGTAACGTCATTTATCGTGCGGACTTCTAGGCAAAGCCTCTGCGTCCGAAGCGTTGCGGATGCATTTGGAAGCAACGTGTCTCCAATCATGTTGGGAAGAAGTTTGCAAACATTCATTAGATGATTGACCGAATGTCAATTTGAAGCTCTTGAGCAGTTCACGGCTCGAGATTAACGAGAGTTTGAAGGGAATAGACGTCGCGTTCTTCATGGACGGTGCGGCTCGCACACGTCGCATGGAGACTGCGAGTTCTGGGAACGGATGTGCATTCGCCTTTATCCGAGAAGCTTGGCAAATCAATGAGCCACATTGGCACGCTATTCATAGTATTGACTCGGTCGTTATCGATAATTTAGTATGCTATACGCTGCAGCTGTCGTGCTTCTACCCACACTGTAAGCTGGTACATGGCTAAGCGGTACCCCAACCAAGTACTGACCGAACGCTGCCTAACTTGTACAATGGCCGAAGCTACCTACCGACCGCGAGCCTATCGCTGGTGGTTCGTACTACAAATCTACAACTTATAAGTAGCCGGTGCAAAACTGCACACACTCACAACTTTCATGTGAGAAGAAGAAAAATAAAAAACACTTTTATAATTATTATAAATCATTATTATAGATTTTTATTTTCAGTTTCATATTACAAAAAAAATGTTGCGCATGTTCCTTGAACTTCTCCAACACCAAAATGCTGCAAATTCCGCAAAGAATCCGCTCGATCATTCTTCACAACTCGAAGCCCCATGTTGGCGCGTGATAAGGAAAACAAACCTAATGAGCTAGGTGCTACCTATTGCGGTTAACATTGTTCTCATAAAGGAGGAAAATGGTTTCTCCGAACAACATCTGCTCTGAGTAATGATAATGTATAGTTCCTAGAAAAATGATTTTGAATGCTGCACAGTGAGTTGCTATATTTCAAGAGTCCGTTCCAGTGCTCCAGTTCTCTCAGTTCGTACTCTCAGTTCAGCGGTGGATTGGATGATAGTGTTTTTATTTATTCATTACACCGACAAAGGTCTGTGGAATGGTGTCTATGAACATAGTCAACCGGGTGATGAGTCGCTGGTGCCGGGAACCTCATCCTTCAGAGCAATGATGATATATGAGACAACAACCCTTACTGCAAGCAAAGAACTCATCTAATGGTGGCGCGTCTGTTCCTGAATAGGCCAAACATCTTTTAATACCGGTGTAAAACATTTCACGTTCATTACCAGCAATACAGTCCCAGGTGGCCAGTTCACAGCAGACATTGTCATCTAGACTGTTCATAACGATTTTGGTATAGCATTTGGGGCAACTGACATTGACAGAACGCATGTATAGTTGCAAGTGTGGCGTGTACCTCTCCGCGTAGCTCTGCTTCACCGGGCGTCGAGTTCTTTTAAGATGGGTGTGAGAGAAGGCGAAACCACAGTCGCATACGACTGTCTGATGTGGTACTATGAGTGTTTCAGCCATAAGCTCAGTGCCGAATGGAACAGATCGCATGAAATCGAGGGGCATGCATTGATGTGATATCGAGAACTCGCAGCGTCTGCACTTGTGCGTTTTCAGGAAGCGCTCGCTGTGTGCTTTGATGTACGACATCTTCCGAGACAATTGCGCGAATGACTGTTGTAGTATCTCACTTTGTTCTTCTGTAAACTCGGCATCTCGCAGTACCTTGCTGTATTCCAATTCATTGAAGTTTTTTCTCAATTCTCCGAGCCAGAATTCCTGGAGGGAATGTTGTTTTTGTGATGACCCACACTCCGAGGCAGATGTTCCAGCACGAGCTTCATCTTGGCATGGAGCATGCATCATGGAGCTCGATGATGGTTCGTTGGTTAGTTGGGGCAACTCTGCTTCTGGTTGCTGCTGCATGTGTTGCTGTTTTTTCTCATCTTGACGTTTCTCTTCACCGTCAGACTCATCGGAAGACATGGCTTTGGGCTTGTGCGCTTTCTCAATGGTGATGCTCTGCTTCAAAACTTGTTTCTCTTCTACTGTACAGATGGTTGTTTCAGAATTGTCATCAGCAAGTGCTTCAACGTAACGCCGCTTCTTGAAGGGCACTAATGTGCTCCTTTCTCCAGAAGCAGTATCAACCGTCACCCATTCGTCCCCATCCTCCCTCTTAATCTCTTCCAGAACCTGATCAATTTTTTCTTCTGCCAGTTTGTTCGGTGTAACTCTCTTCAAAGTCAACCGCGGCAATGGCAGCTCACTCGATGACTCACTGTCCGATCTTACCTGTAATACCGCAAACGTGAAGACACCTGAATGGGAGTATTTGAGTCATTTTCAAAAAAGTTGTACATATAACACAAAGGAAACACAAAGGAATTCGTTATACATGTTACATAAAGGAAATAAAGGATGGTGCAGACTGTTTTTATGTATTCGTCGCGTATATATATATATATATTATGAATGTTCACCGATTACTCGAAGACGGCTGAACTGATCGTGATGATTCAAACGTTATTACATCAAGTTTGTACCCAAGTTGGTACCATTTTTTTGAAATTTTGAAATCAGTAGTTTTTTTGAAATCTTGAAAATTCGGTCGGAAATAAAGGAATAGTTTTTTGTCTTTTGACTTTAAAAATTGTAAAATAAAAAAAAACATTTAATATAAAAATATAAACTGACTTCGAATGCACCGTTCCAAAAGGTTTATTTTTTACTCGTTGATTTTAGAAGTCTGTTTTTTTATAAAATATTTTTTTTGTTGTTTTGTATATTGTGCATAAAAAACAAAGTACTATTATCATCATCAAACTTTTATTACTTTTTCCTAGTAAGAAAACAAAACATAATCGAAATAAATGGGTGCGTGTACTTACTTATGTAGGCGCGTGAGAAGTTATCCTTCTTTGGCATCGTTTAAAATTAGTTTTTAATTGCATGCAAATAATTAATTACAATAAATTAATAAAAAGTCTGGAAAAGGACACAGTCAATAAAGTTCAGTTTTAATTTGAAAAAATAAATAAATAATCAAAATAGTCGCTAAAGCGACCAACTTCATGCTGTTAATTTTTTGTGTTACATTCTCAAAATTTCACTCTCATCATTTTTTCATAACGCGCCTAAAGAAGTATAACTTCAATAAATGTAATTTGAGACAAAATTAAAATTAAAAAATATTATAAAGCAAAATTTAAATTTAAAAGCAAAGTATTAACATCATACCTTTTTTTGTAACCAAACAAAAGTTGTTCAAAATAATTTAAAATAATATGAATCAAAAACACAGAGTGCTTAAAATAATAATCAAAATTTAAATATAAGATATTTTTTTATCACCTCGGATAATTTTAGAGATTGTTCTACTCATGAAAATAAACAACTATTATTATGGGACCAACACTGAAATTAGGAAAAAAAGCTGTTTAAATGTATTCTTAAATTTTGATTAAATATTTTTGCACATTTGTATGGAACAGCTGATCCTTTTTACGCGATTTCATTGCTGGTCCCATACAAGAAATTGTTTGTTTTTATGAGTAAAATTATCCCTAAAATTATCCGGGGTGATAAAAAAATACCGTATATATAGGTAACTAAGAAAAAACGAAGAAACATTTTTTTCAGTAAGCTACCAAACTTATTCAAAGTACTTAAATGTGATCTGATGCATAATCCTTTAACGTAAAGTAATTTGACATAGCATTTCAATTTATAATTTTTACAACGCAATCAGCGGGAACTGTGTCTTTGTCAATTTTTTTTGTACTTTTAAATATAAGCTGAGGCTTTTTTACAGTTTTTAAAAATCTAATATTATAATAAGTTAAATTTGTTTTAATTTCCACACCTTCTATTACTCCTATGTAATATATCCATGATTTTCTTTCGTAATACCTGACCAGGACACTGTCATTAATATTAAAAATAACATCTTTCATAATTTCTTCAACTTTAGTTTTTCCCTCAGCTTCAGTCTCATTTCCTCTTCTAATATAATCTTTATTTTTAATATCAATTTCGTACTTTTCTTTGGTTACATTGCTCTCTTTTTCTAACGCAAGCTTCTTTTTCTCCATTACCACATCTTTTCCTGCATTCAATCTCAGTTCTTTTTCCGTACTTACTACCTTTTTATCATTAATGCTTTTTGGTTGCACACTTACTGTAGTTGGTTTATAATCAATTGTTTTATTTTTTATATCTGTGTTTGGTTCCAAGTAGCTTTCATCAGTACTCTTATCTTTAATTATATTATTATTTTTTTCTGACATATTCCTAATTTCTTTCATCACAATTTCTTCAACAATAGGTGATTTTAGACTTTTTTCTGCGTTTCTTTCTATTTTATCTTTAATTGTTTCTTTTTTGACGCCAGATGTAGATGGAGTATCATGAATGTGCTCTTTGCGTATTTCAATTTTATCTACTTTATTAATCGTAAATGGACCGTAGTTTTTTAAATTGAAATATCTGTAGTTTTCTGGAGTATTTCGAATATCTGATAAAACAGTTACTTTTTTATTGTTAAAATTACCTGAGTCTTTTGTTTTATTGATAGCAAGACAATTTTCTTTCGATCCGATTTGTTTTTCCTCCGTGGATCCGATAACTATATTTTCATTTTCTTCAGCTTGGTACTTCTTATCCGAGTCATATTCGTCATCACCATCCCATATACTATCATCTGATTCGGCGTAAGTAATATCAGAATCTACACTAGTATCGGTGTCGTCTGCTCTTATTAATCTTTTTTGAAATGTTTCGAAACGCTTTCTTTTAATAGTCTTATTTTTCTTTTCTCTGTGATCACTATTATATTTTCGCTTCTGTTTTTTCAGCTTTAAGTTATGCTCTCGTAATCCGTAACATTTACATGAGAGTTTTCTGCAAAAACAAGCCAGTTTTCTAAATTTAATGGTCTGTGCTTCATCTGTAGTAATAACTTGGTGTATTTCTATAGTATTAGGTACAGGAATCAGCCCCCTCAAATCTATTTCTTGTTCAACAGTTTTCACGTTTTCATCTGATATGTAAAAATACATAATTTTAGACTGGCATTGTGTTAGAATGTCGTATGCAGTTCTTGCGTCGATAATATCTGCACCGTAAGAAACTGTTTTATCCAACGTTCGTTTTACGGCACCACCTACGCCATCCGCGGCACCTTTGCCGTGGGCAGATTCAAAAAAGGTCCAAGTTGATTCCTGAAAACCTAATCTTTTTATCATTTCCGACATCAGATAAAAATTTCCCTTTTGACGGTACTGGGTGGTGGGGCCGTCTGAAAAAAAGTTTATTGTAGTAACTTTTCGTAATGTTTCTTTGACATATTTTAAAACAGGTGTTAAATGTGCCCATATAGCGATAGGACTGTGATTGTTATTAGGCGAATTTGTACAAAATGATTTCTCTTGAAAGCCTTGTTCGTTTTTGTAATAAAGCACTCCAGTGTGCAATGTAAACTGTTGTTTTGATGCACCAAAGTGTGTTGCTTGTACTTCCTCGTTTGATTTGCATAGATAGTTTTCTGAGAAGTCACAATGAACGATACACTCAGTTTCAGATATTGTCTCTTTACATCTTTTGTACATTTTGTAAGCATGATAAACGTTGAAGTAGTGCTTCTTGTGATCACAGAGAAAAGAAAAATAAGACTATTAAAAGAAAGCGTTTCGAAACATTTCAAAAAAGATTAATAAGAGCAGACGACACCGATACTAGTGTAGATTCTGATATTACTTACGCCGAATCAGATGATAGTATATGGGATGGTGATGACGAATATGACTCGGATAAGAAGTACCAAGCTGAAGAAAATGAAAATATAGTTATCGGATCCACGGAGGAAAAACAAATCGGATCGAAAGAAAATTGTCTTGCTATCAATAAAACAAAAGACTCAGGTAATTTTAACAATAAAAAAGTAACTGTTTTATCAGATATTCGAAATACTCCAGAAAACTACAGATATTTCAATTTAAAAAACTACGGTCCATTTACGATTAATAAAGTAGATAAAATTGAAATACGCAAAGAGCACATTCATGATACTCCATCTACATCTGGCGTCAAAAAAGAAACAATTAAAGATAAAATAGAAAGAAACGCAGAAAAAAGTCTAAAATCACCTATTGTTGAAGAAATTGTGATGAAAGAAATTAGGAATATGTCAGAAAAAAATAATAATATAATTAAAGATAAGAGTACTGATGAAAGCTACTTGGAACCAAACACAGATATAAAAAATAAAACAATTGATTATAAACCAACTACAGTAAGTGTGCAACCAAAAAGCATTAATGATAAAAAGGTAGTAAGTACGGAAAAAGAACTGAGATTGAATGCAGGAAAAGATGTGGTAATGGAGAAAAAGAAGCTTGCGTTAGAAAAAGAGAGCAATGTAACCAAAGAAAAGTACGAAATTGATATTAAAAATAAAGATTATATTAGAAGAGGAAATGAGACTGAAGCTGAGGGAAAAACTAAAGTTGAAGAAATTATGAAAGATGTTATTTTTAATATTAATGACAGTGTCCTGGTCAGGTATTACGAAAGAAAATCATGGATATATTACATAGGAGTAATAGAAGGTGTGGAAATTAAAACAAATTTAACTTATTATAATATTAGATTTTTAAAAACTGTAAAAAAGCCTCAGCTTATATTTAAAAGTACAAAAAAAATTGACAAAGACACAGTTCCCGCTGATTGCGTTGTAAAAATTATAAATTGAAATGCTATGTCAAATTACTTTACGTTAAAGGATTATGCATCAGATCACATTTAAGTACTTTGAATAAGTTTGGTAGCTTACTGAAAAAAATGTTTCTTCGTTTTTTCTTAGTTACCTATATATACGGTATTTTTTTATCACCCCGGATAATTTTAGGGATAATTTTACTCATAAAAACAAACAATTTCTTGTATGGGACCAGCAATGAAATCGCGTAAAAAGGATCAGCTGTTCCATACAAATGTGCAAAAATATTTAATCAAAATTTAAGAATACATTTAAACAGCTTTTTTTCCTAATTTCAGTGTTGGTCCCATAATAATAGTTGTTTATTTTCATGAGTAGAACAATCTCTAAAATTATCCGAGGTGATAAAAAAATATCTTATATTTAAATTTTGATTATTATTTTAAGCACTCTGTGTTTTTGATTCATATTATTTTAAATTATTTTGAACAACTTTTGTTTGGTTACAAAAAAAGGTATGATGTTAATACTTTGCTTTTAAATTTAAATTTTGCTTTATAATATTTTTTAATTTTAATTTTGTCTCAAATTACATTTATTGAAGTTATACTTCTTTAGGCGCGTTATGAAAAAATGATGAGAGTGAAATTTTGAGAATGTAACACAAAAAATTAACAGCATGAAGTTGGTCGCTTTAGCGACTATTTTGATTATTTATTTATTTTTTCAAATTAAAACTGAACTTTATTGACTGTGTCCTTTTCCAGACTTTTTATTAATTTATTGTAATTAATTATTTGCATGCAATTAAAAACTAATTTTAAACGATGCCAAAGAAGGATAACTTCTCACGCGCCTACATAAGTAAGTACACGCACCCATTTATTTCGATTATGTTTTGTTTTCTTACTAGGAAAAAGTAATAAAAGTTTGATGATGATAATAGTACTTTGTTTTTTATGCACAATATACAAAACAACAAAAAAAATATTTTATAAAAAAACAGACTTCAAAAATCAACGAGTAAAAAATAAACCTTTTGGAACGGTGCATTCAAAGTCAGTTTATATTTTTATATTAAATGTTTTTTTTTATTTTACAATTTTTAAAGTCAAAAGACAAAAAACTATTCCTTTATTTCCGACCGAATTTGCAAGATTTCAAAAAAACTACTGATTTCAAAATTTCAAAAAAATGGTACCAACTTGGGTACAAACTTGATGTAATAACGTTTGAATCATCACGATCAGTTCAGCCGTCTTCGAGTAATCGGTGAACATTCATAATATATATATATATATATATATTAATAATACATTTAAACAGCTTTTTTTCCTAATTTCAGTGTTGGTCCCATAATAATAGTTGTTTATTTTCATGAGTAGAACAATCTCTAAAATTATCCGAGGTGATAAAAAAATATCTTATATTTAAATTTTGATTATTATTTTAAGCACTCTGTGTTTTTGATTCATATTATTTTAAATTATTTTGAACAACTTTTGTTTGGTTACAAAAAAAAGGTATGATGTTAATACTTTGCTTTTAAATTTAAATTTTGCTTTATAATACTTTTTAATTTTAATTTTGTGTGATATTATAAATACCATAACAAAAAATCACATTCTTAATAAAATAGGGGCTAATAATTAACGTTGTTAAAGTTCTCTCGATTGTTAATATCGATTAATCGTGCAGGTTCATCATGTACCTACATTATAAAAAATCGAAAATGGAAACTAAACAATAATATTGTAAAAGTTATCAATGGTATAAAATATCAAATTTGCTAAAATAAAAAAATTCTCTTCATTGTTTTACGTTTATTTACTTCTATCAAATAATACGATACGAAATTTCACTCCGGTAATAAGTTTGCGTCCACGGAACACGGATCTGTACACAAACACAGGCAACCCGTAGGACGCCCAGTTTCGTCTCTCCCATGCACCCAAAACGGGCCCCTCAGGTGTCGCGCTCTAGCAAATTAAGATACCTACTGGATGCAAGATGATCATCGTAGAAAATAGATAAAAACTTTTTTTAATATATACAGGAAGACGCAATAAAATCTGTAAATTGAACCCGAAATATACATTGCAAAATATACACTGCACTGTAGCGCCCTCCAAATTCCGCACGGTCAATGGTTGCACTATGAAATACGTTAAAAAGCATTCTGGTGATGAAATTGAGTCCACGCCAAATTTTTGCCCATGCATTCTACGCATGAAAAGACGTCTTTGCACCAAAAATGAGGCTAGGTTAATCTTGCGTCCGTATACCGGACGCATCAAGTCGGTCGGACGCAGGATCAATAGCAAAAATCGCCATATAAGACGCAACATGATCAGCAAGATGTATATATATATATATATATATGTATTAGTGTATATCTATTCTATCCGTTACCCTAGTATCACATAACATAAGCATATCGCATTAGAAATTAGAAGAAAAGACAAGTACAGTAGAACGCCGATTAATCGAATCGAAAATTATCCGAATCGGTCCTAAGCGTAATATAAAAAAAAACTAAGTCATTTTTGTTTTGTTTTGTTGTAACAAGTTGGAACTCGCTGGAGTCCAGATATATTTCAACTGTTATGGTTGAAAGCTAGAGGCATGACACTACAGGTTTTACTGTTCTTATTGTAGAACTATGTTTGTTTAACTTAATAAAGTTTATTCTTTGTGTAACAGTTCGTTTTTCTTTATTACCAGTCTATGTCCGATTATCCGTATTTTCGTTTATCCGAATCGACCCCGGTACCAATTAATTCGGATAATCGGCGTTCTACTGTATATCGTTACAGTTCTGTGTTCAGTGAAACAAGGCCTTACTCTGACTGAGACTTCGTCCGCATTTTAGTTACAATTTTTAAGAATTCCACAGGCATATAAGTATAGTAAGTCTCAATCCAGGTAATAAAATATGTGTGCCTAACTTCAACTTAACCCGTTTAGCCGTTTTTGCGTAATTGAGTGTTCGCTCCTTACAACCTGGGGTCCTTTAAAAGAGGCGATCATTTTTTCATCATGGTTATTTATAAATGCATGAGTAAATGTGTATCTTAGTCAAAGGTTTCTCACTTAGTCAAAGGCATCGGACAGTACGTATAATTCATTAGGTTGACAAAACAATAACCCTGAAAGATTTGTAACTACGTATGTTAAAAAAACCTAATTCAAATGTTTACACCAAGTACGCCTTCTTCGGACGCAATTTCTGCATCTCTTTCTTATTTTGTTGTTATTGGATCGCTGAAAGGGAGAAATTTGTGCCTCTTTTTAATAACCGGTCATACCTACTTTCGGCATAATAGATTTGTTCAACATTATTTAGGCTAAGCAACACTTTCCATAGAATTCCTTTTTATTTACGAACGCACTAAAACATTCAAAAAGTACGCGTCTATTCCCACGAGTGGGTGAAGAAAAAAATTTCTTACCTGTCTTATTCCATGCATGTCTTGTATTGGGGCCATAACCCTCCTCATGTGTTCCGGCGTTAAGACGTGAGAATTCTTATCTTTAATTGAGACATCGCACACTTTGCAAAAGGTTACCTTTCCATCAGCGTCTCTCATAAAGCTATGGAAATTGTCTTCGGAAACTGTCACGATACTTTTATCGACTGCCTCTATGTTCAAACGGTCTCCAATGACCGTTATCTTATTTGATATCTGTGCGTTTTCATTGCTCAATAGCATATCTATGTATTCCTTCAAATTTGTGACTTTTAATTGGGTTCCATTACTTGTAGTCGTTTTAGTGTCTGTTGTTTCTTTACCTGCAATAACTTCAATATCCGTTAACGATGAGGGACTTGTTGTTTCATTTTCACTTTCATTGCAAAGATTTTGTGCGTCGTCATTGTCGTCTAGATTTTGCATCAAATCAAGAAATTTGTTGATCTCGTCATTTTCATTCAAGTCATCAGCATCACACTCGTGTTGTTTGCAATTTCCATTTTGGGCATAGTTGGCGGGATCATCAGTCATGTATTCAAAGTCTACTTTTTCTAAGTGTTCTTTGTCAATGTATATTTTAAGCAAATCGTTCAAAAACTTAACATGCATCAGTGATTTAAAATGGTCTTTGGACATATCATGATCTTCTCTGTTTATTATTTTAACTTCGGTAGAGCACGGTTCACAGTAATATGAATGTTGCATAGGTTTCAATTGATGATTATCATCTTGAGTTTGTACCAAACAATGTCTTGCACGAACCATAACTGTTTCTATGATCTTTAAAAATGTTTTGTGCTTTTGACTATTTATATGCTGTTTCTTGTAAACAATTGGAACACTTGAGTTACAAATATGACATTGGTATTTGGGGTTTTCGGTAAAAGATTCATCTGCGAGCAAATAATAAACAGTTTTAGAAATCATGATTATGCATATTGAGTCGGATAGCAATTTTATACTATACTATAAATTCCTAAAGAGGCTCTGTTCAGAATACATGAATTAAGAAACCGAACAGAAACAAAGCTTTCAGGGAACATGCTAAATTCAATCTTATTTTAAAAGGGCCAGCAAAAGATGAGATTAATAAACACGACAGGTCAATAAAAAAATGCGATAGCACGCAATCTAAAATCTAAACCAATATCAAGATGGCAGAGTACCACAACGCTCCAGGAATAATACAACAATAGTATATGGTTGATAGTAAATTAGTAATACTTGCGATAATACTTACACAAATATTAATTCTTACAATATTAGAATTAAGCTAAATAGTTGATATATTGATACCAGCCATAACTGAGTTGCTCTCAGAAGGTAGTAGCCATAGCGACATAATAGTGTTTAAAACATTATGTCTCTTTTTAAGAGGGGACTATACACACAAATGCAGTTTAACGTACACGCATATAAAATAAAACTGTAATTACGACACTCACATAAACAATAACACAATACATCGCCAAATTCTGCACACACATATCGTATTAATGCCCAATTTGTATGCCCATCTCGACAGAGGAGAAAGCTGTATATGGCTCCTCCCGTCCTGGCAGTGTAGGTCATGTTGCTCTATGATACTAGCTTACCTGTTCCATTAATTCTGGTTTGGTTTAATTGGCTTTTCCTTTGAGCAAAAATTTTCAATTCATAATAGATGCTACTATTTGTGTTCCAAAGAGGCATTGGATCATTAGAAAAATAATCTTTGCCATAATAATAGTTTAAGTCGATTTCATCCAGCGGTATGACGTAAGAGATGTTATCGTCAACAATATTCATTTTGGAATTATCTGAAACAATAAATAAGTATTGTAACTGTAGTAAGTCATTATCACCATCAGCCTATTAATGTAGTAATATTTTATGTTATTGTAAACATTTAATTGAAAGCTTTTGATAATATAGGATTAAGTTTAGATTGTATAGTGCTATAGGCAATTGTTGGCATTAATTAGGATTATGAATTGATTTTTCATGACCACCAATATAATAATATATTCATTTTGGAATTATCTGAAACAAATGCTGCTGCTGCAGCTGCTTGAGCTGACATTTAAAATAGAGTACCAGCTGTTAGTCGATGAAAGGAAGATTCAAGCCAGTTCAAATAAAGCATGTCAGATTGAGAGTACAGATAAACCTTCAGCTGGAAAACCTACTGTCAGGGCCCAACATCATAGGAATAATGAAAGCGGTTAGATTTCGCTGGCTAAGACACAAAGAAAAAATGTCAGTTGATCGGTCCATTAAAGAGCTTTCCTGGGGTGACCTACAGGAACAAAAAAGGTTAGAGTTCCCAGTGACTTGGATAATTTTCTTTAATCAATATGCAGGGGACTAAATCTTAAAGGGAAGGTACTGAATGCTCTAACTTGCATAAAATAAAATAGACTCAATAACAGAAAAGTTTTTCTCACTTACTTCTAAAATTAAAGTTTTATTAGAGTGAGTGCAACAAAACAGTAACATTCAACTACAGGGCAGGCAAGAAGGCGAGTTTAGCATTGGTGCAAAAAACTGCAGATACTTTTTGTCCTTTATACAATAACTAAAAATAAATTTCAAAACTAACAGTTTTGTAGAAAGGATATTTTTTTTATGTTAATAGGTTTGAAAACAAGCATACAGTCTAGCAGAGGCTAGCCTATAGGCAATTGGAAAACCAAAACTATTACTTGATGAAGTACATCACGCTCTATTCAGTATTTGCATTGCAGAGGCAACATATTTTTGGTTAGGTTAGGATCACTGTTTAATCTGAGCAATTTGCTTTTACAGAACAGCCTGTCTTCTGTAAGGTTTAGAGGTTACTTCCTCCATTGGCTGCTCCAATTTCAGCAGAAAATTCACTATGCCCTACCATTTACTGTTTTAAAATAGTAATGCAGTGGAAATTGTTTTCTCTTCTCATGCTATTTGTCCAGTTTTGAGAAGTATGGTATTTGCAATATTGTTTTCTTAAAATAACATAATTATCAATATAACACATTCCATTATTCCTATGAAACATCAGATTCCAGACCAGTAAACTAATAGGTAAATGAAAAAAAAATAAAAAAAAACGAACTAGTGTTTGTGCTTTAAAAATTAAGCATCACATATTATACCTGTGGATTGTGGACCTACATTGATTTAGTTTACATTACTACAACAATGCTATAGCCATTAACTAAAATACTTATTATGATTATGCATGCAAAAAATTACCACACAACACAATCTCAGTTTCGTAGTTACAAAAACAAAACTTCGAAGACTTACCAAACTTCTGTTTTATCTTTGTTATAAATATAGAGATATTTAAATACCGTAGATGTTTAAGTAGCAATTCTTTTGAACGATGAAAAATATTTGATAGCCTTTTCTTTTCCTTCGAGTTTCGAATCAAAATGCGCTACTAGCATCACTTTAAAGTTTGTGGAAACAAAGTTAGGTAGGTTTATTTATATAGGTATGTACTTACGAAGTTAGCATAAACTGTCAAATGTTCTCAATAGATTATGAATAATCACGTCATACTTCTTCTTCTTCTTCTTTTTAGAAAGTGGCGGTGCACTTTTGTGGATTTCGCCAGCATCACGTCATACAAATAGAGCAGTTGAAGACATTTGACAGTAGTACCTAAATACTTGACACTGGTGTCGATTCTGGCGTGATTCTCTAAACTTAAAAATAAATTTTACATCAGTCTCTCCTTTTCATTCTATATAGAGAATGACAAGGATACACTATTGTCAAATTTAAGTTTAGATTTAAAGAATCGTGCCAGAATCACTTCACTTTCTTTCTTCTCTCTCTCTCATCACTTTATTTCTTGCACTTGAACTGTGGCTGTCTGTACTAAGCTATTCACAATCCAGGGGGCCATTCGCTTAACGGAAATGCTTCTGTAAACGCCAACGCTTTCGATTTTATTTTGTTATTTCTGACCGCGGAAGGTTTTCAAATACCTCACGCTCATTTTTTGAAGTTATACTTCTTTAGGCGCGTTATGAAAAAATGATGAGAGTGAAATTTTAAGATGCGCGCGCATCACTGTAACACAAAATTTTAACAGCATGAAGTTGGTCGCTTTAGCGACCAACTTCATGCGTTACTTTTGTGTTTACCGCACATTATGAAAATCTACCAACAAAATAGAAATAGAATCTCTATTTATTAGTGGGTGCTAACGACTGCGTTGTGAAGGCCTATCAAAAGTATTTATTAATCTGGAACAACGGAACCAAAGCGCGATTCAGGAGACTATAGCGCCATCTCTTGACCATTGGTGTAGTAGAACCAAAAACCACATCTTTATATTTTGTAATAAAGTAACAAAAAGTATTTATTAATCTGGAACAACGGAACCAAAGCGCGATTCAGGAGACTACAGCGCCATCTCTTGACCATTGGTGTAGTAGACACCACATTTTTATTTTTTGTAATAAAGTAACAGATAAAGGTATTCATATTTATAATATTTATCCACATGTTTCTAGTTTGTATATTCGGAATACGTGTTTGAGTTTCATACAAGTGCAAATCACATATGTTCTAATAAATTATATTCAGTAGCGATTTTAATTGAATATTTTGATTATTTATTTATTTTTTCAAATTAAAACTGAACTTTATTGACTGTGTCCTTTTCCAGACTTTTTATTAATTTATTGTAATTAATTATTTGCATGCAATTAAAAACTAATTTTAAACGATGCCAAAGAAGGATAACTTCTCACGCGCCTACATAAGTACACGCACCCATTTTTTTTTTAATATTGTTATTACCAATGCAAAAGAAAAAAAAGAGCGCGAGGCATTTGAAAACCTCCGGCGGCTAAAAATAACAAAATAAGTAGCAGTGGTGGTGGTTGTAAGGTAGTTGAGGAATGCTACTTTTTACCCTCAGGCTAAAACTGCAATATCTAAGTCTTCCAGCGAGGTTGATTAACATTATAAGTAGCTTGCATATGTTTAGAATTGTAACGGTTAGGGTGAATGTAGTCCTACAAACAGCAAGATCTGTCTGGAAGGGCCTTCCTTAAGGTTCCGTTTTAAGTCCACTGTCATACAAACTGTACACATATAATCTGGACACATCAGTTAATAGCTTCTGCAGAATACTACAATATGCTGATGATATAGCAATTTCCACCAAGGACTTCAAAGATGCCTCTTCTTGATGATTGGCTCACTGAACATGGTCTTCTCCGTTACCAGAAAGGTCAAAAGCCCTTGTTATTACAAGCAAAAGAACCTTATCTCCCTTGAACATTTCCTAGAACAACCAACAGATTGAAATTGTTGATAACGGTACAATTTGAGGCATAACATTGGACTCTAAAATACAGTGAAAAATTAAATGAGAGAACAAACGACTGTGAAGCGGATCGAGTGCTGATCTGAGCATGATGCCTCATCGGAGACATGCCAGCCAGATATAGCTGTTACTGCTTTTGGTGCCGCGAGGGTTAGGTCTATGACAGTCTTTCATCGTCTTCCAACGAAAATATGCTCATTGCCTGTGTTGAGTAACTCTAAGTTAATTAATACTTACCAAAAACATGGTTTGTTAACGTTTTAATTTTGATATTTTTGATTTGATTCATTATCGTGGTAAAGCCACGCAGTAGCTTAGGCTACTGCATGAATGGGCCGGCTCGACCGGAGGAATACCACGACCTCACAGAATACCGGCGTGAAGCAGTACTTTGTGCTGTGTTTGAGGCATTCCTTTGTACCACGGGCTGGGGTATGTGTGTACGTTAAAGAGGGTATCAGTTTCCGTCGCTTCAGCAACTTTGAAGGTAGGGACCTCTCCATCTTATGGTTGCGTGTAGACGTCGATGACCATCCCCGCGTCTACGCCTGCCTCTACAGGTCCCATAGCGGAAATATCGAAATTGACCGACTCTATGATCACGTCCAGGTGGCTACAGACTCCGTGGTTCAGCAGATCCCATCATCTGAAATTGTGATCCTTGACTATTTCAATGCCCACCACTCCGAATGGCTTGGATCGCCCACTACCGATCATGCAGGCAGATCTGCTCACGACTTCGCCTTGGCCTATGGTCTGACACAACTGGTCACCTCGCCTACGCGAATCCCAGATGTCGAAGACCATACACCTTCACTGTTTGACCTTCTGCTGACTTCACACCCGGATAATTACAAAATGTCCATAGATGCCCCTCTTGGCTCCTCGGATCATTGTCTAATCCGGAGTATGGTGCCACTCACCGCGGCCGCAATTTGCTGGCTGTCGTCGTGTGTGGCACTATAAGTCAGCAGACTGGGATGGGATGCGCACTTTCTTTTCATCCTACCCTTGGGGCCAGTTTGCTTCTCGCAGAATGATCCCAACGTCGCTGCCGATTCTGTCGCTGATGTTGTCCTTCAGGGTATGGAACTTTTTGTTCCTTCCTCTGTGGTTCCCATTGGTGGCAAATCCCAGCATTGGTTTGGTCACAACTGTAAACTGGCATCTCGCCAAAAACAGATGTGTTATCAGGCCTGGGCAAACGCAGCGGCGGTCGGGGATAACAACACTAGCGATCTCAAAAAGACGTATAACTTGGCCTCCAGGTCCTGCAAAAGAGTAATTGCCAGAGCGAAGTCGGAGCACATTAGCAGAATTGGCGAGAGATTAATAAAACTTCCCTCTGGAACACGCGCGTTTTGGTCTCTTGCCAAGGCTGTTGAAGGAAATTTCTGTAGGCCATCCCTTCCACCCCTGCACAATGGCGACGAATCGATGGCCCATACTGCAAAAGAGAAAGCGGATCTTTTATGCTCATTCTTTGCGTCTAACTCGACTCTAAATGACAGGGGATACATACCGCCGACCATGCTGCGGTGTGAGAGCTCTATTCCGGAGATCCGGTTCACACAAAGCTTAGTGCGTAAAGCACTCTTTTCCCTTGTCATCCACAAGTCGAGCGGGCCTGATGGAATCTCACCAATTGTGCTGAAGACGTGTGCTCCTGAGTTGGCTCCGGTACTAACGCATCTTTTCCGGCTCTCCTACTCTTTAGGTGTCGTTCCGAATTCATGGAAGACAGCTTTAGTGCACCCGATTCCTAAAAAAGGCGACCGCTAACTCTATAGCCATCACCTCCTTGTTCTCCAAGATAATGGAGTCCATTATAAATTGCCAGCTCCTGCGGTACCTAGAGGACCACCAGCTGATCAGTGACCACCAGTACGGGTTCCGTCAGAGTCGCTCGGCTGGTGATCTACTAGTATACCTGACTCATCGTTGGGCAAAGGCGATCGAGACCAAGGGGGAAGCATCGGCGGTCGGTCTGGATATCGCGAAGGCCTTCGATCGGGTTTGGCACAAAGCGCTTCTTTCGAAGCTTCCTTCTTATGGGCTTCCTAAAAAGCGGTGCGTTTAGATCACTAGCTTTCTTGCGGACAGGAGCATCAAGGTCGCAGTCGACGGTGCATGCTCGGACTCCAAATCCGTAAACGCTGGTGTTCCACAAGGCTGTGTGCTATCGCCTACGCTGTTTCTTCTTCATATCATTTATATGCTTCAAATTGATGGCATTCATTGCTATGCAGACGACAGCACGGATGATGCCCTATATACCGGCCGCGCCAACATTTCACGGGAAAACGTCATCGAGTGCCGGAACAAACTTGTGTCTGAAGTCGAAACTTTATTAAACCGATTAACGAATTGGGGCCGACTTAATCTAGTCCAATTTAACCCTACGAAGACACAAGTATGCGCGTTCACCGCAAAAAAAATACCATTTGTCGTATCTCCTCTTTTTGAGAACACTCCTCTAACTGCCTCAGCTAGTATTGGAATTCTTGGCGTTGACATATCGAGCGACGTCCAGTTTCGGGATCATTTAGAGGGCAAGGTCAAATTGGCCTCTAAGAAGCTTGGTGTACTCAATAGATCGAGAATGTACTTCACACCGGCCCACCGACTGCAGCTTTATAAGGCACAGGTTCGGCCTCACATGGAGTACTGCTCTCATCTTTGGGCGGGGGCACCCCAGTACCAGCTTCTCCCTTTGGATCGCATCCAGCGCCGAGCGGCTCGAATTGTCGACGACCAGGACCTTTCCGATCAGCTTGATCCTTTGGCTTTGCGTAGGGATGTAGCTTCGCTCTGCATCTTCTATCGCATTTATCACGGGGAGTGTTCTGAGGAATTGTTCGGATTAATTCCAGCTGCTGCATTTCGCCATCGTACATCGCGACAAAAATTTCATCCCCATCATCTTGATGCGTGGCTATCCACAACCGTGCGTTTTTGTCGAAATTTTTTACCACGTACGACAAAACTGTGGAATATGTTGTCGCCAGCAGTGTTTCAGGACCAATACGACCCAAGAACCTTCAAAAAAAGAGCGTACTCCTTCCTTAAAGGCCGGCATCGCATTTGTGATACTCCTGGTGTTGCAAGTGTCCATGGGCGACGGTGATCACTTACCATCAGGTGAGCCGTCTGCTCGTATGCCCCCTATAACATAAAAAAAAAAAGATACAAAATGTTTAAAGTATGTCAAAATTGACATTGGTTTGTTTCCACCTAGAGTTTCGGTTTAGAACGTAGCTCTACATTTATAGCGGTTGACGGTATAGTCCAGGCAACGAATGCTCAAAAACAGGTATAGAGGGAAATGCTTGGAACACAATTTTTGACTTCGTAACTTTGTTAGGACTGGTTAGGAGGTAAACATATCAAAAGTCCCCGCCCGTAGCCCTTAAGCCGGGGGGAAGGGGGGGGGGGGATTGAAGGTCCCATTTTTAGGGTTTTCGCATATATCTCGGAAACTATGCATCCTAGCGACATGAGACTTTCACAAAAGTGAAATCTGATTAAATTTGCTACAAGTCTTATTCAGTCAAGTTTTTTTTAATATCTTGTATAGTTTTCGAGATAACCGCTATTGAAAGTCTGTAATTATGGAAAAAAAAATTTCTTCACATTTTTGCTCTATTTGACCGGATCTTCAACAATGCCGGCCGTAGGGTTGTTGGTTCCACCAGTGAGCAGCATGCAGATTTCGGGCAAGCCCGCCAAAACAAGGATGGAGCTGACATTGCCAAGCTCACCGACTGGTTTGAGAAATTTCCTCCCTTCCCAGAGACCAGAGACTATATCAAGTCACCAGAAATCTAGAAAGCAGCAGCGGTCTTTTCACACCCTTTCTCTACCACCGCTCAAGTACAAAAGGCAGGTGAAACCTGCATCTTAAGGTGGTATGGAGCTCCAGCGAAAGAGATTTCCCACAATGCCTACAGGTACAAGTCATTCTTGAAATCAGTGGCCACCATCAAGCCTGATATCTCTTGTCTTCCTCCCACCGAGGGAGCAGTAAAACAACATTCCCTCCAAACATTCCACCAAGTTCAGCTGTGGTTGGGAAATTACCTGCCTCCTCAGATGTACGGGTGGAAGATTGAAAACAACTGTCTGGCCCCAGTGCACAGTGAGTTAGCAGCTGCACCGGACGAGATTATGAAAATGATTTTTTGCCGATGCACGAAAGACTGTGTAAGCACGAAGTGCGGCTGCAAAAAAGCAAGCCTCATACGTTCCCCAGCGTGCCAAAATTGCCAGGGGAACTGCCTGAATGGGGTCCCTCAAGTTGACTCCGAAGGTGAAGAAGAACAGGAGGATCCTCTGACCGTTTCCCTACAAGGTTCCGATGGAGAAGATGATACAGAAAAAGAAAATGTAAACGAAGACGAGGATCAAGGTCCTTCCTACCCCAAAAGAGCAAGAAATTGACTGAATGATAAGCACTGTTGAAATGTTTTATGTTAAATCACTCCTATCACACTATGTATGGGGGTAGGTGTGAAATAAAAACATCTGTTTAAGTGCTCTAAAATTTAAATTTATTTAAAACATATTTAAGTTGAAATAGTTTTTATTATTTATGGGAAATGAATAAGTAACTCACAATACCTGCCGGTGAGTGTTATCCACAGTTTATCTCTGAAACATCATATTTTTGGACACCTTCAGTTATTCGTCACTACTCACTGCTTCAAATTATCTCAACATGGAAGCCTTACAGGATTCTATCTCAAATCTCCAACATCTGTTCACTCAGCGCATGGATGCTTATCAGTGTGAATTGCAGGCGGCTACCCCATCAGTTAGCATTAACAGCTTGAGGGATGACTTTGTGGCTTTCCGAGCATTTATATTGACTGCACTACAAAGCCTTCAGCAGCAAATGAGCTTTCTTGCACGTCAAGTTGACACAATTGAGATACGGAGTCGGCGTAGGATGTTGCTGTGTCATGGCGTAGCAGAGGAGAGGGATGAAGACACTGAAGCATTGGTTGCTCGGGTTGTAAATCAGATGAAAGTGTCTGATTTCAGTGTTAAAGATATTAGCCGCAGTCATCGCATGGGCCGTACACCTGGTACTGATAAACCACGTCCTATTTTATTTGAGCTGCGTGAATACGGAATGCGCGACAAAATTTGGTACGCCAAGAAAGTATTGAAGGGTTCTGGCGTTACCATTTCGGAATTCCTTACGAAGACACGACATGAGGCTTTTATGGCAGCTCGTGCAAAATTCGGTATTAGCCGGTGTTTTACTCAACATGGAGTAATAATAGTTGTTGGTGCAGACGGCAAGCGAGTTCGCATTACTTCGGCTGTTGAACTGGACAAGATTCCTGTGCCGGTCACACAATCTGCTGATCCAGTAAAAAATCCTGTGCCGGTTGTGCAAAATACTGGTACATCAAAGGAACCCTCGGTGGCGACAAGAGGTAAACGGGCAGCTGCTGTGTCCAAGAAGTAGCAGTGTAGTATTGTAATTACTAACGTTGAAACCGAAACGTATGTTTTCTTTGTTTGGACTATTGTTTTTCTTTTAAGAAACAGTCTTCAGGTATCTTATAATTGTCGTTTAAGAATTGCATTTTAATCTTGTTTACCCACGTTTAATCACTGTTTTTTTTTTTTTTGTTATCTAATCTAAATACACTTTTTAAGGTAATTTGAACAAACATTAATTGTTGTCATGGAAAAAGTCATTGACAATTGACATTAGAGTTTTTTTTTTTTAAACATAAATAATTGTCATTGTGTTGAAGGCTAAGTGCCAGGCCATACAGCCAAATCTTTAGGTATTGTTTTTTATTTTTATTAATAATTCTTTTAACCTTTGTTTTTTTTTTTGTAACATAAATCATGTTTTTGCTTTTAACATTTTAATGTATTTTTGTGAATGCGTTTCGTTTCACATGTTTTTTTTTTTTGTGTCTTTTTTTTCTTTTCTTTGTAAGACTTGAAATAGTGTTTAGTTATACTTCTATCAACCGGCAGGTGGAGTTCTAATCTAATTAGTTAACAGTTTTATCGTAGTATTATTATCTCTTATTATTATCTATTTACTTTATTTAAGTATTTATTTTATTTTATTTAAATATACATTTAATAAAATTTATTATTATGTCTGATGCATGCTCTAACAGTGACAATGAACTATATTTTTCATTATCATCTGATGAGTGCAATGGTAGCGATAACAGTTTTAGTAGTTGCCCGTCCCTTTCTGATTTCCTTGAAAATCAGTTCTCTGATGTTGCAAAAAATTTCAATGTCATACATATTAACGCACAAAGTATCCCGGCTCATTATTCTGACATGCTGGCGTCACTTAATCATTTGAACCTACATGCGATTTTAATCTCCGAGTCTTGGTTGAAACCATGTCTACCGTCATCATCATATGTATTGCCCGGCTTTCGTCTTATACGAAATGACCGCATTGGATCTGGGGGTGGTGGAGTAGCTATTTACCTCCGTGAACAAATTCCCTACACTCTTATTAGCACTTCGACTCAACCGCCTCCCTCCAATGCTGGTGAACATCTTCTGGTAGAGATCCTTCTCTCGCACACCAAGATTCTTCTCGGAGTTTACTATAGTCCATCATTAAATGTTAATTATTTTACTGCCTTTGAAAGCCTGTTGGATACCTTTGCTCCATCTTACAGTCATACAATTATAATGGGTGACTTTAATACTTGTCTCCTCAAAAATGATCACCGTACTTTCTCTCTCCAATCTATAGTTAATGCTAGCAACATGCATACTCTTCCTCTTAGTGCCACTCACCATTTTCCAAATTGTACCCCAACTCTTCTCGATTTAATAATTGTATCTTCACCCCAGCATGTTGCGAAGCATGGTCAATGTTCGGCTGATGCCTTTTCTTACCATGATCTTATCTATATGTCCTATAAAATTCGTCCTCCTAAGCCTAAGCCTAGGATTATTCTTCAGCGTAATTTTAGTGGTATGAATCGTGAAGCATTTCTTCAGGAAGCATGTAGTATTGATTGGTCGCCCGTATTTTCTGCAGAGACTGTGGATGAGCAAGTGGCACATTTCAATGCTTTGGTCATAAAGTTATATGACAAGCATGCACCTTTTCGAGCCATTAAATTAAAACATCTTCCTGCACCCTGGCTTACGGATGATATAAAATCATTGATGCATAGAAAGGCTTCTGCTAAGAGTAGATATAAAAGTCGGCCAAGTGACCATAATAAAGATACCTATATTAAAATTCGTAATCGCTGCAATAAGGTGTGTAGAGATGCATTACGCCGTCACATTCATAATTCTGTCAGTATTGAAGATACTCCTAAAGTCTGGAAATTTCTTAGATCGCTTGGTATTGGAAAATCAAAGGAAGATACGGATTCTCCTAAAATTAATTTGGATTCTCTCAATAATTATTTTTCCTCTTCTACGGGTATTGATACAGCCGTTAAAATTAACACTCTTCGTCATCTTTCCACCTTACCAATACCGGACTTCCCTCCGTTTGTTTTTGTTCAATTATCGGATTCTGATGTTAAGACGAGCTTACTCTCAGCTACTTCAAATGCAATAGGTAGCGACGGCATAAGTCGTAATATGTTAGTACCAGTTCTTGACTTTATCCTTCCGGTCTTAACTTTCCTTTTCAACAGTATAATCTCTAAAGCTACATTTCCTTCTGCTTGGAAAGACGCCCAGATTGCCCCTTTGCCTAAAGTACGGAACCCTAAAGTCCTCTCTGAGTTTCGTCCTATATCCATTCTTCCTTTTTTATCCAAAGTGCTTGAACGTCTCCTTCATAAACAGATCAATAATTTCCTTACTCGCCATAATCTCCTTAATCCACTCCAATCAGGCTTCCGTCCTGGCCATAGCACTGTCACTGCTTTAGTCAAGGTTACTGATGATATCCGACTTGGCATGGATAATAGTCGCTTAACTATGCTAACTTTATTGGACTTTAGTAACGCTTTTAACACCGTCGACTTTGATGTTCTCCTATCCGTGTTACGCTCTCTTAATATATCTCCAACGGTAATTGACTGGTTTCGCAGTTATCTGTATGGGCGTAGGCAGCGTGTTCGCCTTGATGACCAATTCTCGTCATGGTGCAACACGTCTGCTGGCGTTCCGCAAGGCGGCGTATTATCTCCTCTTCTTTTTGCAATATTTAT